GCTGCATAAATTATGTTTTTTTCTTTCCTGAAACTGGAACAAAACATAGGGTGCCTGTACATATACTACAAGGAGGAGGGTAGGAGGAGATTTTAATTAGAACAGCTCTTGGGAGCCAGTCTAAAGTAAAATGCCACGGTGTCTCATGGATTCAGCATCCCACACTTCCAACCTGCAGCAGGAGTGCTTTAACTTAAACTCAATTGATGAGTTTAGTTAAAGCCCCCACTGCCATTTTGAAACACAGGATGCTGAATACATGAGAAGCTGCAGCGTGCTAGAGCGATCTAGTTTGAACCCTCCAGCAGACCTGCTTAATCGAGTCTGCTCCAACTCATTGATTCTTCTTTTTTCATATCACCATATTTTGCCATCCTCATGCAAGAGATGGACCACTGCTGAAGTATCTGATACTCTGCAGGATGGACAGAGGATCTGTGCTCCCAGCAGCTCTGCCTGCTGTATATGCTCTAGGGAGCAGGGGAGCAGATGCAGATATTTATTAGAGAGGAAACTTCTCCCCAGGCACTTCCTGTCCCCTCCCCTGTTTGATATAGTGCAATGGAGAAAGGACTTGGACCATCCTTTCTTCAACACTCAAGCCATAAGTGATACTGAAATGTAGGGATGCTGTACCCAGGCCCTGAGATCACACCCCTATAGACACCTGCCTGAGGCTTTTCAGCAGCTGCTGGATGGGTTTTGAATGAAGTCCAGGACAGCAGAGAGTGAGAGGCTGCTCTTACAGCTGAGGCAGGACAGTGCTACTTTATACAGTAGGCTCTGCCTCTCCCCAGTCCAAATACACGCTGTGTTGTGTTGGCTAAATTTCCTCACTGGGGTTGCCCCTAGTGGAGTGCCCTCATGTTTGCTGAGGACAGGTCCATGCAGGAGCCACTTTAGGGGAGTGCCTTAGGCTAAAGCAGTGTCAGAGCTGTTGACCTCATTAGATGTTTTTCTTGCCCTCACCAGACTTTCCCTGCCACTGGCATACTGCCCCTAACTCCCTTGCTCTGAAGCTCTGCTTAGCATGGGTGCTTGCGGTGTGCTCAAGAAACAGTGCTCCAGCCCCCCAGGAACAGCTGTTACTTGTTCAGATAAGGCTCCGTGATAGAGGCAAGTCATGCATTATTGCAGTGCACTGGCTGCCCTTTCCCATGTATCCAATTATTTAGACATTTAAGGCATTTATACATGTGCTTGGGTTGGGCGGTCACCTCAATTAGTCTGGCTCTGAAAGCTGCTCTAATTAAAGCACCCGGAGCATCTCTTGTATCAGTGCCCCTGCCCTTCAAGTTGGCAGTAGGAATGCTTTATCTAAAGATCATTGAATGAGCTTCAGATATAGTGCCCCTTCCACCATTTTGAAGCATGGGGACACTGATATACAAGATGCAGAAGGCTGCTGGAGCCTAGCAACCACCACACTCCAGAAGACACAATTAATCAAATCTGCTGGATGCACTGTAATTACAGTATTGGAGCAGCCTCTCTGCTCATGTAGAGGCACCCTGGCTGTACTTCCCTGAGTCTAGCATGGTAGATAATATATCATGGGATAATAAGTGCATTTCCCATCTCTCCTGGGCCCAGGTGACTCTGAATCCCTCAGACTCCTGAATGGAGAGAGCCAGTGCAACGGGCGTGTCGAGATTTCCCTCGGTGGTGCGTGGGGCAGAGTCCTGGATGATCAGTGGTACATAAATGATGCCAACGTGGTGTGCAGGCAGCTCCAGTGTGGAGACGCAGAGAAAGCCTATAACCCCATGAAGTCGGAACGAGGGACAGGCCTTGTTGGACTGAGACGTGTCCAGTGCGCAGGAAATGAGTCTCATCTGACACTCTGCAACACGAACCTGTCTGAGGCAGAGCCAGCAGGAATTGCTGAGGATGTTGGTGTCATTTGTTCAGGTGACTTGTCCTTAAAACCCTACAAACCTCTCTTCCCTGTGCAGTAGAAATGTGGCCATCCCAGAGCCTGTGCTGCCACCCCCTTGTGCTGTAAAGTCATCCGAGTGCAAATAGGTATGGATCCCAGCTCCGGACCCTGCCATTATCATACAAAACTGTTTCAGAAACTAATGGCAATTTTGAGATACAGTTATTTTGAGTGCTGCCATGAGTGTTTCTCGCTGCTCTGTAGTTCCCTGCTTCCTCACAGACATACACCATGGGCACTCATATAGCCATTAGTTTCTGAAACTCCCTCATATTTGACATGTAGATATTATATAGCATGGAAATCTTTAGTAAAAGTCAAAAGAGTTATGTGATCTGAAGAGAAACTAGAGTATTATATACCAGAAAAAATAACAGTATTTTGCACTCCATAGATTCTGCCCAAATAGTCGTACTGGCAAAGCCCCAGAGAAACTGAGGCTCTCACAAACAAATGCTGCTCTCTGAGGTCTGTTAAAACACATCCTGCAATAAGAGCACCTTTTTGGAAACACAGGCAATGTTGACACAAGCAGGAGCATGTTTGCAGCATTACGAATAGCAGCAGCACAAAATTGTGCCGGTACATTGTGTGACAGCGCATGCCCCTGCCCCTGCCTCTGCACTTTGCAGCAGGACACACTGTCCTACTGCTCCATGTTATGCAGGGGGCCTGGCTAGGACACTGGGCGCCTCGGTATGGGGGCTAGCTGGCAGACAGTCTGCACGCTGAGGCAGCCCGTGCCCCAGCCAGCCAGGGAGCGGCACGTGGAAATGGGAACAGGCAGCCCAGGGCTCCCTGCTTCCCTTCTCCATGTACTGTTGGAGCCCGTGCACTGAGGCATCCTGCACCCCAGCCAGCCGCTCTATGGCTGTGTGCCTTGAGACAGGGGAGCAGGCAGCCCTGGGCTGGTGCTCCACTTTCTCCATGTGCCCTAGCATTTGGATCCCCCAATGAAGCAGCTGGAGCCCCTGTACTGAGGCACCCTGTGCCCCAGCCACCCAATGGAGTAGGGGGCTGGGGCGCAGTGTGCCTTGAGATGCAGGGACAGGCAGGGCAATGTTGGGCTCTGTGGCCCCCGACTCCACCGTGCCAGAGCTCTGGGCCCTCTGGCCTCCTCGGTGCCCTGATCCTGGCCCCTGACAGCACTCAAGGCAGCCACACATGCCCCTCAGGCACTAATGCGACCTCCAAAACCTCCCCTGTAGTCCCAAACCCAAACCACTGCTTTAACTACCACAAAAGAGTGAGCCCCCTGCTTATACCACAGAACAAACCCTGTGATGGCTCCCAATATAAATGACAATGTGCTGGCTATATGAAAGAGCCTTCCAGTAACCTGGGCTCTATCCTGTCCTAGCAAGAGTGCCTTACTGGTAGCTCAAAGCAGCTTCCCAGTCCAGCCAGCACTCCCCGGCAGCCTTCCTGCTTGGCATCTCCTACCTGGATGCTTACAGGCCCCCACTGACTGCCTGCTCTCGGGCACTGGCTATTTGTGCCCCATAAGCCCTCCCCACCTGCAGCCTCTCCAGCTGTTCCCTTCCTGAGCCTAAGGGCCTGCCTGCTTTCCCAGCTAAGGCTACTTGCATCCTTCTCTCCTCCTCCAGTGACAGCCCCATGCAGGCCCCCTGGCCAAGGAAGACAAAAGGCTGCTGGAGCTGTTTTCTCCAGCACTCTGTTTCCTCAATCATTTTCCATCAATATAAACAAAGCCTATGGCTTTTGTGGTCATTTTCCTAAGGGATAGTAATGTCCCCAGACACTGTTGACAATTCTGATCTAAAACCTGTTTGAAAGGAAGGGCATGCTTAGGAAACCATTATTGCTATCACTAAACCTCACCCACTAGTGAGGTCCCATCAGGGTTGTTGTGCTAAATAAGACATTCAGGAGTAGATCCTTTTCTTACATGATGGAAATCAGGGACTCTTTAACAGGCTCCATCATTCCCTTAATCTACACATCTCTTGTCTTCTCTATGATTCCTAAAGCATTAGTGTTTCAGTCCATGCAGCATCAACACTGATTTGATGATAAACTCCTCCTTTTCTTCACCCTTACCCGTTAACATCAAGGATTTCTCCTTGCAGGAAGCAGGCAGATCAGACTGGTGAATGGGACAGATCGCTGCGCTGGGAGAGTGGAGATTTACTACCAGGGCACCTGGGGGACTGTCTGTGATGACTCCTGGGACCGAACAGACTCCAACATTGTGTGCAAACAGCTGGGATGTGGACACGCCATTGAGGCAGCTGCCTCCGCTCATTATGGAGAAGGCTCAGGACAGATCTGGCTGGATGATGTGAACTGCTCTGGGAATGAATCCGAGCTCTGGGAGTGCCCTTCCAGGGGCTGGGGGCAGCACGACTGCGGGCACAAGGAGGATGCAGGAGTGCTCTGCTCAGGTTTGCTCTGCGATTGCTGTTTTGAAACTGGGTACCAAGAATATAAGAGAGGGAGACTAATATTTGACGAGAGAGCTAAGGATGCTAGGGACCTCTCCATGGCTGTAGCAGACTCTCTTCTTCCTCCTTTCATACCAGGGTCACTTAACTATATACATAGTCATCATGGGTGCCTGTAGACATGTAGGGAGGCTGCTCTTATGTGCTATAATTACAGCACATTGGAGCAGACTCGATGAATCAAGTCTGCTGAAAAGTGCTAATTAGCATGCCTCCAGCAGCCTCCGCATCTCAAGTCTCAGTGTCCCTGTTCTTCAAAAGGGCACTTTAACTATAGCTCATTGAATTAGCTTTAGTTAAAGCACCCCTGCTACCATTTTGAAGTGCAGAGACGCTGATACATGAGATGCTGGGGGCATTTTAATTAGACTGGCTCCTAAGATCCGCTTTAATTAACGCACCCCAGGCCCACCCCGGAGCCTGTATAAAAATGCACAATAGTGCTACTCATCTGTTCCTACTGGCAGGTCTCGGAGAAATCATTGGCTTTCTCTGGTGTTAGAAAGAGCAGTATCACATGTACATGTTAGGAAATGACCACTTTCCACGTGTGAACCTTGTATTTCTAATTGCCTGGCACTGCCTCAAAAGACTCACTGATCCTTGGAGCTTTTGTCTGCAGCACATGTACATCTGAGGGCACAGGGCTGTCAGACCACATCATAATGGTGTTACTCATTAGTTGCTAGCTGGGGTGTGAGAGAAAACATTGCCCGTTCCTACTCTTAGAAATGGCACTGACCTGGGAATCTGCCGGGCTTGTGTCTTGGAGGACATCTGACCAGTAGCCAGGGCACATCAGAATAGAGTCAAACCCTCTATGAGACTGGCTTTCTTTTAAATCACTCCAGCAGGCCTGGCATTGGCTGCAGGGTGGGGCCAACCCAGCGCAGCACATCTCTTTAATCTCTTCCTTGACAGGGGCTAGCCAGTCCACACCCTCACAGGCAGCTACTGTTG